GAAGTTTGCGAACTTTGTTTTAAGAGTCTTTTAATTTATAATAGAGGTCCCGCAGTAGTCGAAATTCGACTATAATTATTTGGAATTGTATAATAGATTGGTACACTATTATGATTGTATTTTATACTTCTTTAATCACAAATTTCGCCAAGACTACACTATAATTTTTTTTAATAAAGACATACAATATTTATTCTATTTTCAATTTGACCACAGACGTCAAGAACAAAAGTTTGACAATAAATAGTATGCATGCGTGTATGCGTCAAATACATGGTATATAGTGTGTGTAATATTTTCTTTATTGATGAAATGTATCTTATAATTATGCATTATTTAAAAAAAAATTAGCATTGTGTACTTCTTCTCTATATTCTCTATAAGTTTGGGAAATTTCATACTCCTCCGTCCGCGCAATATTCGTAAAAAGAGATACAAAGTTTTTGCTTCACGTATTAATATATAGATAAAACTAGCTTCTGTATTTATTGCATTGAAGTTATTCTGGCTTAATAGATAAGACGTCCGGTGTACCTGTATCAAGCGATGTGACTAAACCGGCATTCGAATCTTGCAGGCAAATGCCAATTTTATTAGGCATCTCTTCATGCAATAGCTTAGTAAGTTCTATCTACAAACCTATCTACGTTTAAAGCTTCTTTGAAATTCCAGAGATACGACTTCGTCCACTCGTAGATACGTGATTCGTTTCTAAAAGTCTCTACAAATACTTCCGTACTAAAGACACATGTCCAATAATTGAATGACTGATAAAGAGAGAACCTAACACAGCAGTCAACACCGAAGGTAGTGGGTTCCATTACCGAATGTGCCAAACATTCGTGTGACGATCAGGCTTGTATGTTTTGAATGAGTATTTATTTATTTATTTATTATTACCGTCGTTGATAATAAAATATTTTCTATAGCACAACAACAAAAATGTCAATAAAGTCATCTAAAATATATTAATACTGTCGTAATACAAAGTAAAATACGCGATAATAAATCGTGATACGTGAAAGTAATTTTAGTAACATATTCCGAGAGAATGATTCCTCCCTAAACGCTCATCGTAACAATATTATTAGTATAAGCAAACAAATATTACTTATACTCCAAATACCGTTTTCATAACTTAAGGTAAACACATTCGGAATTCTCTTGGAAAAGTCGCCAACAGGTAACGTTCAATATGTTTACATCTGCATATTTTATCTGTTGAAATATTTATTTCCTTGAGATGTTCACCTGCGCCGGGAAAATACGAAAATTTGATGTTAGTAACTTGAGTTCATTTGAATGTATACGATATTTCGTGGGCACACCCAAAGTATTGGAGATATTGAAATGTTGGAAAAGTTTTTCAATTTAATGTAATTTTAATTTAAAAATTATTCGTATTTACGTTGGCCATCGGAAATATATCCTACGTTGTAGTTGCAAAAATGGTATAACCAATAAATAATTCAAATAAAATTATAACCTAATATCCCAGAGTGGGTTTCGGCATTCCCGTTGTGATGTCCATACTAACTCTTAACCATCCATCCATACTTAACCAAATGAGGCGCGACCTTAAGTTCCCGTCCACAGCAAACAAATAAAGAGTTTCTTAAATTAAAATTCGGTGTCCATTGAAGGGTTGGCAATAACTCTAATTAGTATGTTGTACATGTATGTTTGTTGTAGAGCACAAAATGATTATTTATTATTATAACAGCAATGTACAAAGTTGAGATTGTGTTTGAGTCTCAGATTTACATGATTTATTGCTCACTCGGAAAATAAATTATACGCCAAGCATGGGCTATAAGACAAAACTTAATTATACTAATTTGTGAATATGTAACTAAGTAGTTTAGAATTAAAATTTTACGTCACCACCCTTTAAGAAATACTTTGAAAGGTTTTTTAAGTTTTTCCCTTTGTGAGTTTTTTCTTATAATTATGGATTTTTTTAACATTTCTAACCGTTACTTTAGATAAGTGTATTTATATGGTTTGTATCTATGTATTTATATGCAAATACATACATATGTTTTTATGTGATTATATTTCAATTTTCTTAACAATTTTAAGTATACCTCTTTGTATTTGATATTTTATTTTCTATTCTATTACATATATCATATAATAGAAGCTATTTTAAATGTCACATTTTAAGGGAAACCTTTTTAGGCGCGACATAAGAGTAGCTAGGGTTATTTTTGTGACGGAAATGTCGTTCAGTGAAATCTATTACACAATTCCGGTTTCTTGTCGTAATATTCGTCTGTACTATAAATAAAGGAAGGTATAAGTTAGCTGTGTGAAAACGTCGAACGCATTCACGTTTTGACAGTCATTCGTTATTCAAGTTTTTTTTTTTAAAAGCTTTTATTAAATTTTGACGCTATTGCCTACTTCTAAATTTAACAAGATGCATAGGTATTTAAATATTTGAATATAATTATTATAATGAGAGGTAAAATAATATATGATACGGGGGTTTTGAGTAGACAGTATATAAATATAATATAGAACTTTATATGTAAATGAAAGCAACTAAGATGTCATGTAAATTTGTAAATGGTTAATATAATGTTTTGTAAAAGTGTAAATAGAAATGTAAAACACAGTGCATGAGTTAGGAACTCCCTGGCCTGTTTCTCGATTGACGCTACCTAGTCGACGGTCATGCACTGACATTCAAATAAGTTAAAACAACATTGTCTTCATTTGTGATGCATGCTCTGTTCGTTCAATCAGGGTAATCGAGTTGAGGACCGCAAGTTGTAGCGAAAATTGTGAAACCTTTTTTTCTGGTTTCAGTCTATTGTATCATTCTACTGTATTTATTTCATGATGATATGTACTGTGTTTATTTCAGGACTAGATTAGACTTCTATACTTGTTATATTTATTAGAAAAATGGTTGTTAATGCATTAAGGATTGTAAGAAAATAAACGATGCTCCTTAAAACATTGTCCGTCGTTATTTGATAACGCATATTAATCTGCCATTTTTTTTATTTTTTATTGCTTAGATGGGTGAACGATCTCACCGCCCACCTGGTGTTAAGTGGCTACTGGAGCCCATAGACATCTACGACGTAAATGCACCACCCACCTTGAGATATAAGTTCTAAGGGTCTCAGTATAGTTACAATGGCTGCCCCACCCTTCAAACCGGAACGCATTACTGCTTCACGGCAGAAATAGGCAGGGTGGTGGTACCTATCCGCGCGGACTCACAAGAGGTCCTATCACCAGTGATTACGTAAATTATAATTTTGCGGGTTTCATTTTTATTACACGATGTTATTCCTTAACCGTGGAAGTCGATCGTGAACATTAGTTAAGTACGTATTTTATTAGAAAAATTGGTACCCGCCTGCGGGATTCGAACACCGGTGCATCGCTACATACGAATGCACCGGACATCTTATCCTTTAGGCCACCACGACTTAGAACGTTTTTGCTACTAAAATCATCATGATCTCTCATTTTATATAATAGCAAGTGACAGTTGTATCGGAATCTACATTATCGGATACCTAAACAACGGAAAAACGTTTAGAATAAGAAACAAACAAACAGACATAATCAAAGTTAGTGCTTATAAGTTTTTTTTAAGAGTTCGAAATTAACAAAATTCTAGTTAACATAAAGGTTCTTGCTCAACAAAACCCGCATCAAATTAAACCTTCGGCGACCCTTGAATCCAATTTAACTCTTCCACAGATAGCTGCAAGCTCGCGGAGGGCTCCATATTTAATAATTTATGCCCACATAAATTACGAAAACATTTTCCTTTCCTTTACATAACAAACACTAATAAATTCCGCGAACATCCACTTACATCACATGCGTAACGTCGACGGCAAATAATTTGCTCAACGATTTGCTTTATTTTGAAAGCGTAAATACAGGCGAATCAATTTTAATTGAAAACTAATTAACTTTCCAATCAAAATCATTTGCAATATTTTAGTCTGTTACAACACTTAGATCTATGACAATGACGCCTTAGTTTACTAGTAGCAATATATACCAAAAATAACTATCATTGTACTTCACTGATCAAACACAGTTTTGAATTTTAATTTCAATTATTTATTAGGTTTGATTGAAATAAATGTTATTAGTAATTATTTATGAAAAGAAACATAGAGAATAGTTTATTTATTTATTTATTAAGTTGCACCAACAAAGTGATCGTCAATACAAAACATTGTACAATTGACAAAAGTTCATGGCAGCTGTCACCTCAATTATAGGTGCAATCGACAGTGCATTAACAACAAAAATTAAAAAAAAATATAACTAAGATTTGATTACATTTGATTCATTGCTTAAGATTAATTTATATTTAATCGGGAAATGATCCGCGATAGTTAAAAATTATAGTATATTATAAAAAATAATGTCAAATTTAAGGTATTCATAGTAATAATTATAGTTATATTTAATTTTATGCTGTGCTTATTGAAGTTGTTCTTGTCGGACTGCCACAATATTTCACACAGATTATTCGACAGGTGATTTCTCAACAATTATACCGGATCACCGTATCAAATTACAACATAGTTTTAAGAACTGGCTACGGTAATTATTATTATAATGGTATGATGCCGATTCAAACAATACATTTAAAGTTATATATATTAATTTTCACGCTGAGTCGTAAAGTATACTGTATCGCTTATAAAACACGACACTTAATTTTGCTTAAGATTACACGTTTAACAAAATGTGAAAAAAAACTCCTATAGAAGAAAAAAAAAACATGTCTTTGTTTCCCATAGTTAGAGGTTATTTACTATAATTACGGAATTCCATTGAAAAACGTAATCGCACAGAGTGCAAGACACACCATATGGCCGCAGTCACCGTCGACCGTGTCCAAAGACATAAATGGGCACATAGTCGTCACAGGCGGAATGCCTTAGCGTGCAGCCTTGCATGCGGGGCGAGGGGAGGCCCTCCCGCGCAACCTGCTGCCTCCGTCACTCTTCGCAGGTCGCGGCTAGTGCCTCCGCCTCGCCTGCGCACGATCACCGTGCACACACGCTCTCACGTTACGAACACTTATCTATAAAAAAATTACGAAAACAATTAACGCGTATTCAAAGTGAAGTGAGATAAACAATCAGTGATGTGTGTGAAGGAGTAGAGTAAGGTAAATTGTGGAACGACACCCTTGTGCTTGGATGTGGTATTTGAACAAGGGCGTTCGCGAGTCAATGGATACTCGAAATCGAATCGTAAACACGAGTTATTTATTTTAGGTCGCATCTAAAAATGGGCACTCCTCGATTATTATAACAGAATTGAATTTTTAAATTGGCGACGCATTTCGCAAAAAATTGTTCGGGAATTTCGTAAATTTTTGTAATGTTTAGATTAGTGTGTCAATATAGCCCTTGCCTTTTACGTATGTAGATGCTCGTTCTCAATGTGTGGATGCCAAATACAGGGAGGTGCTGCAGAAGCAGTGACATCACCTGTGATGTGTTCGCACTCCACCCACTAATGCACGTGTCGTTAGGTTACGTTCATGATAAATGCCGAGAATATCAAATTAACTTATGCTTCATTTAAATATACACATATTGTAGATTTTATCGTACGTATAAGGGTAATTCAATAAAAAATCTGTTGCAATAATTTTACACGTTAACGTTGTGGAAATAACATGGTTATTGAAATTTAAAACAATTGAAATTAATTAAAATTACATACCTATGTTGTGAAAATTAAAAATGTAGAGTTGTTTATTTTTTGTAATTATTTTAAATGGGTTGAATAGCTAATGGTTCATTCACTTGCATTTGCATTTGGTTGCATTTAGTGATTTGCGGAGCCCGAAGTCATCCTAATATGAATACTACTTTGTAACAAGAGCTTGAACTCTTAACTGTATTGATAAATAAGCTGTAACTCTCTACAAAGATGATATCACGATTTATTTGCATCTGAAATTAGCAAGGTAATGGTACCTTTTCCAACTCGCAATACGCCCTACGATCAGTTATTATGTAAATTTTATTAACTTTGTGTTTTTGCTTTTTATTACAAGTCCTTATTTCTTGGCTTCGTTTTAGATGTTTTTGAGGTTTTAGTTATTTGAGAGTTCGTATTAGGTGCGCATTGACTTTGAAAAACAGAAGACAAAAAATATCTGTCGTAGAATTTAAGCCCTGAATGTTCTAATGAGTTACGTCACGACGCACGTGCAGGGTCATTTTTACCCATTAGACCGTTACACCGATTATATTTGTTGTAACAGAACATATCGTTTGTACCAAATTCAATAACTTCAGAAACTGACCTTTTAAAATAATTGTGCCGATTATTTCTCAAAATTTTATCGAAAAACTTACTACGACTGGGATTACATACATTTTGAATTCTAGTATTCATTAATCACAACAGGCATATTTATTTGAATAAATTTAAATGAATAATACTCGATTAAATCAATGATATTTTCAAGTACACATGGTAATTCTCTATTATTAGCTTCCAACGTTAGATTCTTTGTTTGTCTTATCCTACCTATGTCATAGATGTATCAATTGACATACTTAATTTGAATCAAAACTACTGTATTATTACGATAACTGATCATCATCTGTGACTACAGAAATTATACAGTATTCGAAACTTCGAAAATATTAGAATGACAATTAAAAACTGTAAATGTACTTTTCATTATGTCTCGACGTGAAAATGGAAGAAAATACTATACTTCATTTTATTTCATATAAACATGTTTCAACATTTTCATTCAGTTGATGCAGAAAAAATATTAGATTCATTACTTTACTGACATTGACGGTAGAGGATGCACCTTTTTTCTTATTGCCAAGATGGGTGGACGAGCTCACAGCCCACCTGGTGTTAAGTGGTTACTGGAGCTCGTAGACATTTACAACGTAAATGCGCCACTCACCTTGAGATATAAGTTCTAAGGTCTCAAATATAGTTACAACGGCTGCCCCACCCTTCAAACCGAAACGCATTACTGCTTCACGGCAGAAATAGGCAGGGTGGTGGTACCTACCCGCGCGGACTCACAAGAGGTCCTACCACCGGTAATTACGCAAATTATAATTTTGCGGGTTTGATTTTTATTACACGATGTTATTCCTGATTGTTATTGAGTACATTTCGACGTTCATGGGCATCAGCAATACCAAGTCACTGAAAAGCTCGTATAATAGATAAGGAGCTAAGGATTTCGTTTGTGGAGCGTTTATTTGAGGACTTAAAATACAGGAGGGTGCATTGTTTTTCTGGACATGTTTGATTTCCTTAAAACTAATTACTCGGAGAATTCATAATTCAATTGTAATTATATTCTACATACCTACATTGAACTTTGGGCATTATTGATGTCCTTGGACGATTAAGCACGATTAACTACCACCTATAAAATCACTTTTAAAGTTCAAGTAAAAACTACATCTGACAGGAAAAATTAATTTCTTACCCACCGTTGTTAATATTCAAATTATTGAATTGCTTTGCGTTCCCATGGCCTAAGAAGATTAATATCTTACGTAATAAAACAAGAAAATAATTCGTTTTGTTCGCTTCAGTTCTTTTTGTTAAAATTTGAGTTACACCGCTAGTGGCATAACAACGAGCGAAGTAATCTATAGTTATAATATATTAATACGTGAAGCAAAAACTTTGTATCCCTTTTTACGAAAATTGCGCAACAGTATGAAATTTCCCACACTTATAGAGACTATAGAGAAGAAGTGCACAATGCTAATATTTTTTTAAAATAATGCATAAAACATACATTAAATCAATAAAGAAAACATTACACATACCACATACCATGTATTTGACGCACACACGCATGCATACTGTTTATTGTCAAACTTTTGTTCATGACGTCTGTTGTCAAATTGAGAATAGATTAAATATTGTTTGTTTTTATTAATGTTTTTATAGTGTATCTTTCGCGAAATTTGTGATTGTAGTGTGTGTACAAACTTACAATTCCAATTAATTATAGTCGAATTTCGACTACTGCGGGACCTCTAGTACAATATAAATGTAACTAATGCAATTGTCACGCTAGTATCATTAGATTTTATGATATCGTAAACAAAAGTCGTCATTAGAACATAATAATACATATTGAGTTTCGTATGTGATGTAATCAATAATTTATTGACAAAATAATTAAAAGTTCCTCAGTAACTTAGAATAGCTATACAGATGTGTATGTATTTTCTACGTGGCTGGACCCTACATTATTGGAGGCAACGAAGCACGAAGCAAAACGTTAGGTAGACGCTTGTTAAAATAAAATTTGTATTATTTTAGCACCCCTCTGTTTTATTTCTTCATACGTGTATCTCGATATCGGTAGTGTTCTGTTGTGAAATGTTACTAATTGTCTTATTACGTTTTATTATAGTGCAGACCTATCTTGTGAACGATATTCAATCATTAGCGATGAATTAAAGTACAAACAATCTTATTTTAAAACTAATTAGAAGTGTGAAGAAAGGTTTTAAAATGTCGAAAAAAATACATAACTCAGTCCACGTCCTTCCTTTGTTTGTTGCTCAAAAAGAGAAAGCTTTTATAAAATGCATATTAAATTATATTCGTTACAATAACATCTTTATCTCAAATCAATTAAATTTATATGTATAAATACTACTCCATAAATAACAAAAATATCGGTAAATCACTTTATTTTATGATATTTATTATGTATCTACAGAAATCGACAAAGATAATTTGTAAATCAGTTAAGTAAATCTCTATTAAAAATTTAGAGTTTGATTAATATTTCAATAACATAAGCCGCGAAGCTGGACATAAGTCTATGAAAAAACGTATTCTATTCAATCCTTGATACCCGTGAATTTCTTCTGGATAAACTTGAACATTGCAAAATTTACGTGTAAGTTTCATTTTAACTCGGTAAATATGATCACGTGACTAAATTTCAAAGTAAATTATATTGGTTGCTCTATCAGAATCGTCGAGATAGCCAAATTATTTGTCCTATTTACATTTTATAATCATAATGCATCCGTTTGTCTCCCAGCAGTGAAAACAGACGTTTTACCCGTTTCTTCTTTTTACGCATAAAATAAAATAATATTATTATCTAATTAGTGTAAAATCATGTCCGATAGAGCCTTTGCGTATTTTTTATACCGTGTTATATGTCCATATAATTAATTCAATACGTTTTTCGCGTACAATATAGAATAAAATTAACTGGGAGAGGAAAATCAAGTATATCCTAGCTCCGATATCTCTGACGAAACGACAAAAGAGGATTTTATTTTTTGTCTGATAACATAACCTTTTTTCGACTTTATTTTTTTTAAGCAAACGTCTTGTTGTCGTTAGCTTAGTTGTCGTGCACCTGTGGTATTTCACACGCCTCACTTTTGTGTTGGTCGCGACAATCTTCTTAACTAAGCTAGGATGAATAAAATGTAAAAACGTTTTATATCTAAGTAGGTAAATATTGTATTTCCTTCTTAGTTTTCGTAATTTAAATGTTATAAGAATATTGATTTTGAATACTTCAATTACTGCTTAATTATTTTATAAAAATAAAAATGTTTTTCATAATTTCACAAAATAGGATTTTTGGATTTTGGTTTACTGTACTGTAACTTTATTATTTATTATATATTACTGAATGCCAACTGTAATGATAAAAGTAGCATGAAATATATCAGTTTACTTATCCGAATCCGTATTCTAGAGTGACCGGTGGTAAGCTTAACGCTGTCTTTGGGACACGTTACTACTCAAACTATCGATTGACATTTATAAACATAGGATAGTTTTTATATTACTAAAAGTTAGCAACATAGCGAACAATGCAAATCATAATATAATAATATAAAATTTGTAAAAATCATCTTTAAAGTAAAACACATTGACTTTTTCAATTATAACTTTTATTTCCTTTCAGCGGGCTTTCATATTTTTGTCCCCAAAAAACTACATTCTTTATTGATTTTATAGGTAAACGAGCATCCAGCTCATTTAATGGGGTGGGATCACGGACGTCAGAAATGCCAGACAAGCTACTGCCAATCGAAAATTAACTGGCTAATGCTTTTTTCATAAAGGTAATAAAATCACAACGTAACAAGATTAATATATTGGCTCTCGTTTGAA